CCATACCCTCCATTTTGGCTTGACGACGACATCTAAAGTACAAGGTATAAAATAATAAAGGAAATATATTTAATAATATTAAATGTAGAAAGTAGGATAATCAGTGCACTACTCGTAACAAACATATATAAAAGATCATATACCGAATAGTAGAATATAAGAAACATTACCATATGCAATTCATGAAACCATAACAACCGGAAAAAAAAAAATGAAAGAAAAAAAATAAACTGTGGGATCACTACCATCGAACTCCTACCCGAATAAAAGCAAAAAACTTCAACGAGCACCCATCCTTCTTCCTTTTTATCACCACCATGAAATTCCTACCTGAATTGTGGGATCACCAAACTTGTCACAAATTGAGGATTCAAAGTGTGGCTTGACTTTTCGTGCTCCTTTCGGAGACGACTAGCTCCACAGCTCGGACTCTCGTGGTTCCGAATCTAATCTTACAAGTGCAATGTGAAATAGATAAATACCAAAGAGTCCAAATCCGGCAAATCTTTTAGAAAATCGATTTTGAATCAAAATGCCAAAAATAGACTGCTTTGCCAGATACAAAGTTGCCACCTAAATTTTTGAAAAATTTAAGAAACCTGAGACTCATGCCAAAGGCCATTTATCCGTCATCACCAAAGTGTCTCGGCTCGGGAATTTAGGTACGAGAGGGGAGGTCATAAATTGAGCACCCCACTTGACCGATCAGAAGATCGGCCTCTACTAATAATTTATGTGATTCTTATCTACATTATATGCTCTTATTTCGATTATTAGACTAACATTACTATGTGTTGCACACAAATATAGACTAATTTGTAAAAATTGGAACATTTTGGTGCTGTTTGATAACACTTACGTTTTCAGTTTTCTGTTTATATTTACAAAAATTTAAAAAACTCAAATAAAAACTTGTTTGGTAAAATTTCTGATTTATAAATAAGTGGACTCAGTTTATAAATTTGGCCAAAAAATGAAAACACAAAAAATGTGTTTCCATTTTGAGTTTTTAGTTTTTTTTTTTTTATCACCCAAAACTAGCCACCATCTGCCACCATTTTCCACCACCGTCTTCAGCCACCACCACCCCCCACCACCCCCCCCCCCCCCCCCCACCCCCCGTTTTTGCCCCCCCCCCCCCCCCCCCCCCCCCCCCCCCCCCCCCCCCCCCCCCCCCCCCCCCCCCCCCCCCCCCCCCCCCCCCCCCCCCCCCCCCCCCCCCCCCCCCCCCCCCCCCCCCCCCCCCCCCCCCCCCCCCCCCCCCCCCCCCCCCCCCCCCCCCCCCCCCCCCCCCCCCCCCCCCCCCCCCCCCCCCCCCCCCCCCCCCCCCCCCCCCCCCCCCCCCCCCCCCCCCCCCCCCCTTTTCTATTTATATTTATAAAAATTTTAAAAATTCAAATAAAAACTTGTTTGGTAAATTTTTGATTTATAAATCAGCGGTCTCAGTTTATAAATTTGGCTAAAAAATATAAACTCAAAAAATGTGTTTCCGTTTTGAGTTTTGAGTTTTTTTTTTTTATCACCCAACAGTAGCCACCACCCACCACCCATTTTCCAACACCGTCTTCCGCCACCACCACTCACCACCCACCTACCAGCCACCATCCGCCACCACCCATTTGCCACCCACTCGCCACCACCACCACCACCACCCACCACCCCCCACTACCATCCACCGCCCGCCACCACCACCATCCGCCACCTACTTGCCACCATCACTCACCACTCACCTGCCACCACCACTCACCACCAGCCACCCACCACCCACCACCACCACCACCCACTCGCTACCACCTACCACCCGCCACCGTCACCCACCTACCCACTACCACCACCACCACCCGCCACCATCACCCACCCAACCACCACCACCACCACCCACCCGCCACTACCCACCACCACCAGCTACCCACCACCCACCGTCACCACTTTCCACCACCGTCTTCCGCCGCCACTTGCCACCACTTGCCATTTCTCACTCTTTTTTATATTTTTAAATTTTTTTAAACATTTTGTGAATTACCAAACGCGTTTGTAGTTTATGTTTTTCTAAAAATAAACAAAAACCAGTTTATAAATTTTTTGTAAATATAAACTGAAAACGTAAATGTTACCAAACACACTTTGATTTCACGTTTGTTTTTCGAAAAACGGTTTTGAATATGTACTACTTGGAAAAGTGATCTCATGTGCACATTACTCAAATTATTCTAATTCAAGCAATTATCCTTCATCCACAACCATTCAAGCAGATATAGCATTTAAACACTTAGCCTTATGGTAATCATGCTTAATATGGCAACACTAACACTCATGTAATACGCTAAAGCAGATAAAAGCTTATCCTTATTCCCGAGGCGAGCCAAAAGAGAAAAAATAGTTAGAAAAATGTATGATCCTAACTAATGTAAGATGCCTAATGCCACACATGTGATATGCAATTTAACAGGCTTGGCTACTAATATGAGATAACTTGATAGCATGCAGTTTTGAGCACGTTTTCAATGAAGTATGTAAACTACAATGCCTAGTTAGAATGATGAGTCGAACCTCATGCATGCAAAACAAACGGGTGCTTTATACATGGGAAATGCTACGCGAAACGTGATGCTCTATTCTATCCATCATAAGCAGATAAATAAAAAGCAGAAAGACGTGGGGTTGAAAGACATATACATTATTACAAATTTACCCTCACGCAAGAGAGTCCAAATGAATGAGCTAGCTAAGTTACTTAACTAATTATTACAATACCGAATGAAATAAATTAATTATACTAGATAATTATTACAACACCACGAATTAACTAACTACTTTACCTAATTAATTAAATATAGCACATAACTAACTAGTTCAACTAATTAATTTAAAACAAAAACTAACTAGCTAATTAGAATGCACAATTAATTAGCTAATTAATTAACTATTATGAGCTCTGGGGAATGAGAGTTGACCCATGCATGCACACGGATTTTTTTCTTCTAAAAAATTGATTTCAAAATACAAACCAAACACACTGTTAATATTTTTGTCATGCGTGTCCATCATCACATGAAACAAATTCTAATGCCATTTTCAAATTCTTTTTCTTTTTGAAAAATTCTACTATAATATATACCCATAATTATGTCATTTTCCTTTTTAATTTTGAACAATTTTTCTTCTTTATTTTAGTAATAACTTATGAGATTTTTGATTATATCTTATGTAGCGTTTGGTTATAACTTTTTTTTTTCTTTTTTTTAAGTAATAACTCAAAAGGTATAAAGTTATAGGTGCATATGGTACTCATCCTTTGAGGCAGAGACAAAACCAGAATTTTATCATCGGAGGGGCTAAAGACAAATAAATTTTTGTCATCATATATATGAACATATATATATATATATATATAATATGATATATAAACTATATATATAAATATAAAAAAATTCAAATACCATAGAATTAATTTCTATTAGAATAAAGAATTTTTTTGGGTACAAAATAAAAAGATAATGGAAGATGTTAGAAAAATGAGATATTTATCTTTTATAACAAGAGACTATTTTATTTATAAAATAAGATATATATTTTAAAAGTGTTATGATAAATATAATTTTTCACAGAAACAGGAGGCCATGGTCTTCTCTTAGGTCACATTTGCTTGGCTTTTTAAGAAGGGGATTGGACTAATTGTCCGTAAGACCTACTTAAATAGTGTTTGGTTAGAGACATGAGTAAGGAAATTAATTTTCCCATTGAACTGGTAATCCCCTCATGTGGTAGGACTGACAAAGGTATATGAGGGTTGTGATTAGAAATTGAATGAAGAGATTGGTGAATTTTTAAATGATTTTAAGTAAAATTATATTTTTTGGAAAAAAATAATTATAATATTAAAAAATATTAAAACTTAAAAAATACTAATTTTATATATTAATACTACCTATAATATTGCTAATCTGGTGGTGTATAAACAAACATTGTTTATTTTACATCTTAAATCTAATATCACCATATTAATAATCTCATCACTCAATTTTACCGTAATTTTAATCATCTCTATCCATTGTAGCCAAACAAACATGGCCCTAGTTCCATCCCTCCTTTGAGGGATGTGTACATAGTCTTTAACTTTCTTTTAACCTGTCAAGTTTAATATTTTGAATAATGTTTTGTGTGTGTGTGTGTGCGCGCGTGTGTCTGTGTGTGTCTGTTTTGAATATTGAATTTTCTGACTACGCATGAAAGAAAATAAATTGTATTTTTGAACCTAACCAATTTCATATAAATTATTAAAGTCAAAGAAACATTTAATAATGAAAAAAAAGGAGAGAAGAAGATAATATACGTTATTGAGGTTGAAGAAAATGGTGTACATATAGGTATTTATCGGAATATCTTTTTGAATTACTTATTTATTTTTATTTTTGTCTTCATTAGTATTTTATATTTTAATTAAATTATTTTTATACTTTTTAATACAGCTAATTTAAATGAATTTTAAAAAATAAAATATTTGTGAAAGATTTGAGAGGAAAAGATTTTTATAGGCCAAAAAGAGTACATTTGGTGACTTTTATTTTCAGCAATATTTTTTTAATAACAAATCACAAAATATTTTAATTTTTAAGTATATATATCTATATGATTTTTGAATTTAAAAAATAAAAAATATTTATAAAAAAATCACCAAAAATAAAAAGTCAAAAATAAAATATTAAAAAAAACAATTTTCAACACGCATTGGCTGACCGATGACAATTCGTCACTCTCTTTCTCCTCTAGAAAACGTCTGGTGTACGGCAAGTTATTTTTTAAATTATTTTTTTTAAAGTTAAAGTAATCAATAAAAATAAAATATGTTTGTAAAATTTCACATCTAAATAATAATTATTTTATTTTTTTATAATCATTAAATCAATTATAAAAAAAAAATCATAAATACACCAAATTAAAATAACCAAAATTGAAAATGCCAGCTAAAATATTAGTTAACTTTCAATGTTTCAAATTTCATTCTCTGCATAGCTTTCCTTCAACTTTCACTATTTGTATATTTTTCATAGCTTTGAATTTTTGCGCTCTCTCTCTCTCTCTCTCAAATTGGTTTCTTTCTGCACTGAACCTCTCACAAATGGCTGGCCGTTTCGATCGCAATCCCTTCGCCGAAGAAGAAGAAGAAGTTAATCCCTTTTCTGTAAGCTCCTTACCTCCTCTGCTCTCTCTTTCTCTCTCTCTCTCTCTCTCTCTCTCTCTCTCTACATTTTTATGTTAAATATATAGGAAGGAATAACTGATTTACAATTTAGGCTCTGAGAAATGGGTTTTAGCTCAGAAGATGCTTGGTCAATTTGTTTGACTACATGATCGGTGTAGCTTTTAAGATTGTTAGTATTTTTTCTGTTGATTTAACTCTGTTTCGGCTTATATGTGTAATTATTGCTAGTTGCTTATATGTATGATCTGTCAGTTTTGGCTTAGACCTCTTGTTGATTGTTTGTATTGTAGTTGGCAAGTTTGTTGGATGCATTTGCTTGTTTGATTCTAATCGATTATTTTGGTTTTGAATGATATGCTACAAAAGGTTTTAGAATTATTTTATTTGTATAAGGATTTTAATAGTTTAATTGCAAACAAGTTGCTTGGATTGGATTCATAATACACTAACAAGCCTTATTAAATGATGCACTTATGTTGGTTGAATACTTGTTTCGGCTTAGGACTTGGGAGTGTGCTTCTAAGGTTTCAGGTTTGAAATCTCCTATGTGTAAATAATTTCTTGGGATCAGTCCATACGGGGCTTTTGACTTGGCTTTAATAGGGACCCCAATTGGTCCTTCGGATTTGTCGGTACAATGATTCGGATACCGAGTTATCAAAAAAAAAAAAAAAATAGTACAAGATAAAATTGTGATTCATTTGTTTGCACATCTTTCAGATATTTGTCATCATATGTATTTAGCAGTTTTATTTTACATGTAGGACCTACCATATTTTAAAAAGGGTTTGTTTCTCTCTAGTCCGCTGTGCTGTTGGGCTTTGTAGGACATACTATGAATGCAACTTTGATAATGTAAATCATTCATTTTGTTCGGATTATGTTTGTAGATTGTTTATGAAAAAACCAGATTAATCAGATAAACATATGTACATATTTTGATGATATTCGTTTACAAAAAATGAATGACAAAGATAAGTTTAAAAATAGATCGTCTATTTTTTTACAGACAAATTTGATAAAATCATGGGTTATGATTCAAACTGTTTTTTATTTTATTTTATTTTTTTATGGATAATTGAACAAAATGAATGGTTCACATCCTTAAAGTGGACCTGACCACCCGTGATGGGCCCATGAGCCCAACAGCACTTCCAATCCGAGAGAAACCTATTCATTTAAAAAAAATAATGGGTCCACCATGGCACAAAGGGAACATATAGGAGGTGAAATATAGCAGCCCTCATATATATAGTATATAGTTTTTTCGTCCTCTTTAATATTGATTACTACTCAAAGTTTGGTATACATATATATGTAGATGCTTCACCTCAATTTCTTTTAATGTTGTTTTACTACCTGTAAATACACTCATTCAACTTCCCTTGTTATTTTACAAACAGGATCAAGCAGCCAGGGGTAAAGCATCGGGCCAGTCAAAATATGGTGGAGGTGCATTCTATGTAAGTTAAATTGTCTTTTTATTTTTAAAATCCAAATAGAAACTGCTTGTTTTTTTATATGTCATGAAATGAAATACAGATGCGTTACCTGTTGGTTGCTCTTTATTTATGGTATTGCTTTTCAGACCAGTATGAGTAGAATAGTTTGCTATTTTTGTGAGCTTTTATAAGTCAGTTTTTCTTTGAGTAGAGGGAAGTCTGTAGATCTTGAATAATTGTGCAATTTTAGTTAGATCCTTTCTGTTATATTGGCTAAATATACTTATACGAGGACACTTGATTTAATTCCTGTTCCTGCTTTTACTATCATGAAACTTCAGTCCAGGAGGCAATAGTCATATCATTTTTTCCTGTGATGACTTTAACGTATAATGTGTGTTTGTGTGTATGTATTGACATTTTTTTTTTTTCAATATAAATTTCTTTCCTTTCACTAGCAATCTGGTTTGATTGACTGACCCAATCATGGTATTAAGGGAAGGGGCCTTTCCTTGAAAAATGTCTATAGAAAACACGTCTGTTTCTCTGCCATTCCTCCTGCTTTCTTGATGGTTATAATCTATTACAAAGGTCAGTTCAGTCCATGAGGCTTTTTTGAAATCCAACTTGCTGAGGCTTACACGCGTTTATTTCTTTATAATGTTACACAACAAACTTCCAAATCAGGCGTGTTTGAGTAGCTATGTGGCATACTAGTATACCTTGTTACATATTGTCATAAATTCCAGCGGCTATGCAATTTTTTAATCCAATGTGGCTAGTTTTTTTCGTTGACATACTGCTTTGCTATAATTATTTCAATGGTGTGTTTATGCATGTTGGATGACTATATGTTCTTCACATCTATTAATATACACCACAATGCATTTGTGTGAACATTGAATGGTTTGGTTTCTTATGACTTGCATATGTTCCTCTCTAGTTGGACCTCTTATATTTTTTGTTCTCGTGCTCTGATTTCCAGAATCCAACCTCGAGGCTTTCTCCTCTTGCTCCTGAACCTGCAGATTTCAACTATGATCACAATGCCCCAGTTGACATTCCTGTTGATAAAGCTGCGGTAGGTGCAATTTTTGAAATTGGTGGGCACAAAGTATGCATAAGGGGTTTGTGTTTCTTCACATGATTTCTTTTATTTTTCTGATTGAAATATTTTTAAAATTTAGCTTTTGAAAAAGAAAGAGAAGGAGCTACAAGCTAAGGAGGCTGAATTGAGGAGGAGGGAGCAGGTACTTCTGATGGAAATCTAAACTTTGTGAATATACAAAACACTTACATTAGGGATACAGACCTACTTTGTTCCACTGTTTGTTTCCACTCCTTTTCTCTGCATGGGTTGCCATTTTTTTCCTTTCAGTATTCTAGCACTATAATTGGTGATGCTGTTTTGTGATTGTTGCCATTGAGTAATGGTTAACCATGCATGGTATCGTAGAAGATCAGGCTTGTCAGGCAAGATTGTGGGAAACCTAACCATTGTTACACATATTCTTTGAAGCAGTTTTTCTTTAGTAAAAAATGTCATCACTTATCCGATGTTTTTCATATGAGTTAATGTTTAACTTAACACGATCAGATATGTTTTATGGAATTTTTCGTATTCTTCTTCTTCTTCTTCTTCTTTCTTTCTTTCTTTCTTGCTTTCCTATTTTTTCACACAATAGAAATGTTTAACTGGCATTCACTTGTGCCATGTTAGTAAGCATTTGTTGTTGTTGTTGTTGTTTTTTTTTTGTCCTTTTTATTTGGTGTCTATAGTATGCTTTTGTATTAAAATTCTTGTATATTTCCTTCGTAAGAGGGAAGTAGAGACAAGTTTGGGGGTCTGAGAGTGATATGTAGTACCAAGCCAATAACCTCACGATAAATTGAATGGTGTCATGGGTGTTGGAATTTATGGAAACTATTTTATTGTCCTTGTTATATAAATTATTTATGCATATTAAGAAGTTTCATTGCTTATCAGATAAATTCTATCCTTATCGTTGTTTTGTTGAGCTATGCAGGAAGTAAAACGGAAAGAAGAGGCAGCAGCACGAGGTGCTTTACATTTCTCTCCCATTCTTTGTCCCTTCTTTCTACGTTTTGTTTGTCATATATTAAGGTCGGCATTTAGACCTCCATAAGAATCTTATTGTCCAGTGTGTTTACTGTTACATGAGATGTGGAGACTCAGTTTCAGTTTAATTTATATGGTAGTTTCTTGTTAATATTTCTGACCATTGTTAGGATCCCTTCTTCTGCACAACCTTCATTTTGTCTTATAAGTAGATGTTTTTTATTTTATTTATTTATTTATTTATTTTTTGCAGCTGGTATTGTTCTTGAGGAGAAAAATTGGCCCCCGTTTTTCCCAATCATCCATCATGATATTGCAAACGAAATACCAATTCATCTACAAAGATTGCAGTATGTGGCATTCACAACATTGTTGGGTATGTCAACCTTAGATTGTTTTTGTGGCAGCTTTATATTTTTATCAGTTATTATTTGTCAAAACTTTGTTGCATGCAAATTTTTGTACAAGTAAACATTGGAATGCAAAAATAGGTTAATTTGGTGAACTTTTGTGTCAATTTCTTGTTCTTTGAATGATTGATGATCATTTGAGGCATGTTTTCATTTTATGCCCTAGAATATTCAAATTTCCATTCAGTCAAACATTATTGTGTTGGAATAGTGAGTGGGTTTGATAAGGGAGTTACATTTCTTATTCATGATATCAGTAACAGAAATTTTGTCCATCTTGGAGTACAGTCTTGTGTTTATAAGATAATTTGGCTGATTGTTATGCATGCTGTGATGATTCTATTCCTCTTTGTGCACCTAAAGCTTCTTTAATGAGTCAGTGAGGATGGACCACATTGATTGTGTATAAATGCTGATGGATGCAGGATTGTTTGCGTGTCTTCTATGGAATATTGTAGCTGTTACTGCGGCATGGATTAAAGGGGCAGGTTAGTATGAAATAATTTGTTCTCTCCTCGACCTTTGTTTTCTATGCTAATACATTTTTCTACAACTATATGATTTGGTCTCCTAAACTTGATTCTATTTGTCTTGCTGTAGGTGTACAAATCTGGTTTCTTTCTGTTATATACTTCATAGCAGGGGTTCCATTGGCATATGTGTTGTGGTATCGTCCACTCTATCGCGCCTCTAGGTACTAATTTTTATATTTCTTCATGGAATTTCATTTGTAAGTCCATTGTTGAGCATATTTATCCCATCTGGATGAGGTGAAACCTGACCAATGTATATGTATTTTTTTGGGTGAATAATGTATATGTATTGTTTATCTGGATTCTGGACCTTGGATTGGGTTAACTTGGATTCATGAATGGTTATGTTGTTTCGGGAAGATTTTGAATACATTCTAATGGCCTGGATGAATACATTGTATTGGGGCGATTTGTGAGAAAGGAAAATAAACAGAGAGAAAGAGATCTTTCATCACTTGCTTGGATGATTGAGGAGATGAGAAATGGTGAGAAAAGATGAGCAAGAGAAATCCTTTAAAACTCAAGTTTTGTTTCTCACCAAATACAAGAAAGAGTCAGATTCAAAATTCTTTACAATTTTGTTTAGTTTTATAGAGAGCAATTTTGGTTTCTCTTTTATTTATTGTTCATCCAAACAATATGGTAAGAAACTACAATCATCATTTTCTTTTCTCACCTAGGTGAGAAATTACAATAATTTCTTTTTCTTTCTCACCTCGTGAGCCAAACAGAGCCAGAGTTGCAAAGATTTGATCAGCATTATTAGTACATTGGAGCATTGTCATGCCATGGATCTATTTTACAGCAGTCATCTGTGGTTCTGACCTGCACATATGTCATCATGAGTTTGTTTCTATGCCTAAACAGCATTATTCTTTTGGTTAACATCAAAACCCTTTTTACAGGACTGAAAGTGCTATGAATTTTGGGTGGTTTTTCCTTTTCTATGCGGTAAGCTTTCCTGTATTCTGATTTGGATCTGCTATATCTACTTTAACTTATCATATGGTAGATGCTTCATTTTATTATTTATTTATTTTTTTTTTAAAAAAATTTTGCCATTGCATACAGGTTCACATTGGTTTCTGCATTTTTTGTGCTGTTGCTCCTCCAATATTTTTCAAAGGGAAATCTCTCACGTAAGTTTCTCTCTTAAATTTTAACTTGTCTAATCTGAAGTCGTACTTTCACTGTTTCTTTGGTAGTCATTAGGGCTTTCTTGATTAACCCAATTATTTTGAAGCAAATACAATTCGGATATCTTAGTTCCCCTTATTTTAGTTGCACTTGCATGGTGATTGCTAGCTGAAGATGGATAATGTTGACATAGTTCCCCTTATTCTAATTCTAGTTGTTTATATAGTCATACAGTGTCAGTTAATTCCACTAGATCATGTTTGTTTGGAAGGATATGGCCTTGGGATTAGATTAATAATTCAACAAAATAAATAATCCCATGTTGGCTAAAAAATTAGTAGGATACCAAATGGGGATTCAAGAAAGATTCAGACTAGTTGGCTAAATTACAAAATTGATAACATTTTGTCAATCCCTCTGTAAAATTTTGGATTAATCTACATGTAAGATATGATACACAATTCGAAGTGATTGATAATCTCAAGACTAACAGATCTAGAAATGCTAATTCATCTAATCCAACCTATCCAAACGAACATGGGTCTAGTGAAATTGCTTATGAGGGATCAAATTAGGCGGCTACCGTGTATATTCTCTCTCTTTTAAAACTGGTGGATGCTATTGATTTCGCTTGTGTGGCCCTTTTTGAACAGTGGTATCCTGCCTGCTATAGATGTCATAAGTAACAGTGCTTTAGTTGGGGTAAGCTTCATCAATATATTTCCATTTATCTTCTTCTTTTTCTTCTTCTTTTTTTTTTTAATTATTTTTTAATATACGTAAATTGATTACCTTCTACTCAGATATTCTACTTCATTGGATTTGGATTATTCTGCCTTGAATCAGTGATCAGTGTCTGGGTCATTCAGGTCTGATTCTTTGAAAGTTTTCATTTCACCTTTTCTAAGTCAGAAAACACGAGAATAATTTCTGCATGCACGGTGCACAAATAACTTTCTTCTGATTTGTTTATTTTCCGTGTTTTCTGTCATCGTGTAGCAAGTATACATGTATTTCCGAGGCAGCGGGAAAGCAGCACAGATGAAACACGAGGCTGCTAGAGGAGCCGTGAGAGCAGCAATATGATTGCAGTCCCACCTGGATGTAGTTCGAGCGTGATCTTGCATTCGACGAAAAACTACAGCAAGGAATTTGTTCCACTTGTTCAATATAGTTTGTTTGTGTGCTCTTTTATTATTTTAAATGTACACTAGCGCTATTTTTTTTTTTTTTTTTTTGAGCAGTTTTGAGAAATGACTATTTGGTAAGGGTAGTAAAAATAGAAGCATATGTGATGTATTCTAGAATTGAAGAGATGGTTACCTCTGTAAATCTGCACTGTATTTGTTTTGAAATCATAGAATGTATATTTGAGAGAGGACTGTCTGGTAATATGTTCTGCAAAGGAGTCAACACTGAAATATATATCATATTTGGTTAGCTAGAGGAGATCCTGTTTGGTATCATTTTTATTTTTTTTGTTTTTGTTTTCATTTCTTAAGGCGAAAAAAAAAAATGAAAACTTGTGTTGTGTGGTGCAATGTTTTCGAAAACTAAACCATGTCAATTTGTCTCACTAGGATTGGCTAGGCGCAAAGAAAGATTGACAACGGGCTTTGATTCACTTTTCTTGCAATTGTGACATCAATATTGTCTATTATCCAACTGATCAAAGAGAGTTAAATCGGCTTTACTTATCTTTTGATTATTGTTTTTATAGGTTAAAGTACCATATCAGTTGAATTGATATCTTGAAACTATTGAACAATTATGAAGTGACTTGCATTAGTCCGAATCTCTCTAGCTCTCCATATAACAAATTAAGATTTTAAAGATAAAAATTTAAAAATAAAATTATTTTTTAAGAATAAAATATCTTAATAGCTAAAAATAGTTTTTTTCTTTTTCTTTTTTGTTGACCATTTTTCAACACTTACTCCTCCCCTTTCCTTCCCCAACTACTGCCACCCTTTCTTCTCAATCAAACAAATTAAGTTTGCACAATCTGTTGTACATTCTCTGTTTTTTTTTCCCCCAACAAACATGTCCCCACATCTCGTGGGGAGTTTCTTCTCATTAACTATCATAAACTGAGGGATCACCATCACCTTCATCTAGCATATCTACTAAAAATATACTCTTGCCTAGGGGGTGTGCGGTGCGGGTTGGTGCGATTTAAGAGAAAAATAAAAATCGTATGGCGGGTGGCGGATTGATAAAAATGTCACTAGAATTTATCATTTTCCTTATCAAAAACCGACGGTTCGGTTGACAAATAATGGCGGATTTGCCTTGGCGGTTCGGGCGGATTGGCTGTTTATAAAAAATATAGTTCAAATTAAAAAACTTAAATCAAAGAGTAAAAAAAAGACGAGAGATACCGTGATGTTAAGCATTTTGCGAAGCTTTCTTCTGATGCAGCAAGTGTAGCAACAACATGATAATATCAACGATTATGTCATCAGTTCATTACAAGCATCTGTAAAGTTACAATGATCAAATACAATACATAAAATTCCCCTCGAGCAGTAATGTAATACTATATTCTAAGGTATAGAACAACAAGCAAACTTAAGTAAAAAGGAATTTTTAGAATCTTATAAAACATGATTTAATAGCAGTGCGGGTCGGTGCAGTTTGGAAGAAAAATAAAAACCGGCGGATTGATAAAAGTGTTACTAGAATTTGTCATTTTTCTTGCAAAAAACCGGCGGTTCGATTGGCAAAGAATAACGAATTTGCCTTAGCGGTGTGGTTCGGTGCGGTTTTGGCAGTTTCGGCGGTATTATGCACACCCCTACTCTTGCCATTTTAAAATATTAATTTCTTATTTTATTTTTTATTATACTAAAATATTAGTCATTTTTTAAAAATTAAGAATTAAAATAATATGAATTTTCTATTTTGTCATTTTTTTAAATTCATTAACACAAAAAATACAATTATGACAATTGATATTTCTTAAAAAATATATTACCAAAAGGTAATTTTAGAAAATTATTATTTTTAAAGTGTAATAATTGTACTACAAAAAAAAAATTGAATTTTTCAAAAGAGACTATTATTTTGGGACGGAGGGAGTATCATTTCACCTTAGGTAGATCGTCTCCATCAAATTTAAATTTGATAAAACAACTCTTTTTTCTACTTCAATCATGGTATCAAACCCCATATCAAATGAAGGCAAAACCAGATTTTTTATTAAATTAAGGGAGCGTTTAATCTTTTATCAAATTTTGCAGACGATCGTTGGTAGATGACCTGTCGGTCAACTAGGTGGATGATCGGTTTAAGAAAATTTTGCTAAAATTTGCATTAGGTTAGATGACTTGCCGAACAACTGGCTAGACGACCAACAATATTTAATGAAACGATTAAACCACAATATATCATATCAAACTTTTACTTAAATTTTTATTCAAATATAATGAAAAATTTAAGTAACGTTGGAGCTGCTTTTAATTATATGAATGCACTAAAAACAAACACCAATAAAGCATCACAGCCTCATATTACATACACACACGTATATATTAAGCCTACTGGCTCCTCCTAAACCTAACAGTAAGCAACACACTTCTTCTTGCAGTCTATGGTGCAACCACCGCCGCCGCCACCACCACCGTCGTTCTTGCCGGAATGGTTGTAGGAGGTGAAGCACTTGGCTGGACACATAAGCTTCTTATTATAACATGGACCCTTGTGTTTACACACCACAGTCGGTCTTATGATCCCACCTTTTGAGTACCCTCCAGTTGGAGTCCCGTACCCTGCTCCGTATCCGCCACCGACTATGCCATTGCTCCACCCGTTTCCAAACCCGGGTACATTGAAACCGCCTCCGGGACCGAAGAATCCCCCACCACCACCACCACCACCATTATTGTTGTTGTTTTGGGTTGGGTGGTGACCCGTTTCTTTGGAGGGTTTGGGCTGGGGTTGGGATGATCTGGTGGGTTCGGGTCGGGTTACAAGGGAGAGGACTGAGGTGAGGAGAAAAGCTATGAAAAAAATGGTGGTAGTGTTCATGGTGTGTGGGCATGGAGTGTGATGAGATGAAGAGAGAGTGAGGAATATTTAAAAGTTGAGAAGAGAGCGTTCTGTGAGAAATGCATTTAAGAGAGAGAGGAGAGCGTAGAGAGAGAGAGAGAGAGAGGGGTGGATGGGAGTCAACAGCCCCTGCATGAGTTTGAGTAGGTTGGGTGCTATTATTGCTCATTCAGAAATGATCTCACACCACGTTTGAATGTGCTGGGTGTTATGTTTGGTACAGATAAATATAATTTTATTTATTGTGAATTGGTAAAAGAGTAATTATAATTGTGAAAAATATTTATTTAATTGAATAGATTATTAGTTTACAATAATTAAAAAATAGCAAAATTTAACAATTTAGTGTATCTTTAATGGGTCATCAAAAATTTTATTAAATTTGAATAAAAATATAACTAATTTTTCTATTTGATATCAAGTATTTCAACAATTTTCATTAAAACACAGAATGTTCAGGGGATAACCAGCCAGTCGACCAACAAGTGCAAAATGAAAATTTTTTTTCTCTGAATTTTTGTTTTCCTCAATTCCTCTGTCATTTCTTTTTCACTCCATTAAATCTTTTCTATTTCTTTTTGCCTCTATTAATTATTTCCCTCCCTTGTTTCGGTGTGTGGTTGTCGTGTCGCCCTGTGCATGATTTAGTACTGATCTTCAATCTTCAGACCAACCATGGTGATCATTACTGGTATGTTAATGACCACAATTAATTTACAGGTTCGAACTCTGATTTTTTTCTCTTCCCCTTTCACAGCTACCGATTTAACATCTGGGTTTATGATTTCACCATCATCAATTATATATAGAGCACGAATTAACCACCAATTGTTTCACACAGTTGCAAGTGCGTTAATCTATGCGAACAAGATGAGCTTTTTCGAAGCTTTTACAGATAATATGAAGAACTTGTGGACTGAATGGGAGCTACGAGGTCTAATTCTGCTCAGCCTCATCTTGCAAATACTACTGATACTGTTAGGCAAACGCCGAAAGTACATCGCCAGAACTTGGATCAGATTCACTCTCTGGTCTGCCTATTTAATGGCCGATTGTGCAGTTAATCGGATGACCGGGGGACAATAGGCCGGACGTCCATCCCGCAACGGTCTTGCACAGTAATCTAATGAAAGGTGTCTAGCTCTTTAGTTTGGTAAAATATTTGATATTTTTTCAATTTAATATAAGTTTGATGAAATTATTAAAATACAAAAAAAAGATACTTTTTCACTAAATTTAAATTTAATAATGAATTTGATAAAACATTAGAGATGACCTTATAATAAAATCTACCAACCTCTCGAGTGTATGTCCAATAACTACATGCAATTTTTATAATGAGGGAGAAACAAATCATTGCAAATCACTATAAAGAGAATCAAATATTTTCCAGTTGAACGTGAAACTTTGGTATTTTATAATACAAAAGGTGTTATACAATTACTATACCAAATGCCTTAGTTATCTCATTAATTCGATCAGATAATTTCTTAAATTTTTGTGTATCAATTATTCATAAAAAATTTATGAATTAAATCCCATTTCAAATTGACAAGGACAAGCGTACTTATCTATATCCTATTTAATAAGTCTCATAACCACTCTATATCCTATTTAATAAGTCTCATAACCACTCATTAGTCAATCGCGAGACAAAAGAAAATCAAATGAATAAGGGATTAAGGCTATATTATGAATTTGGTTAGAGAACTAAAAAGAAAAAGAAAAAGAAGATGATGTGAGTAAAATATAATTTAAATTTTTTCTTTTTAAATTTCTATTCAAATTTATGATTCAAATATAACGTAAAAGATATACATGGGAAAATAGTTGGGTTTCAAAATAATTTGGAAACTTGGCTAAAAGTTAAGTTTTGACTTGTAACTTATTTTGAGTCATATCACCTTTTTATTTTTTTACATTTTTTTTAAAGAAAAAGTCAAAAAAATAAAAAAAATTAACTTTTAACCAACTTCCTAATACAACCCTTCATATATATATATATATATATATATATATTTTTTATTGTCATAAAATGTTCTTGCAAACAAAAAAGACATAATATATAGCTTCAACAAAGTTGTAAAAATATCATTACTCCTCCAACTATTCAGCAAAGATAAGGGTAATTATGGAATTATAGCAAATAAATTTGCAAATGGTAACAGCATTCAAAAGCCCTGCTATTTCTCTTGTCATAAGAACATCTTCAATTCTTCATTATTATTATTTCTTTAATATGATTTTAAATTTGAATAAAAAATTTAATTTGATATAAATTACTATCATCATTTCATTAAATTTTCATCAAAATCTTTTTTTAAAAATATTAAAATTAATTTTTAAATATTTTTTTCATCAAAAATTATTTTGATAAAAAAAAAACAATCTAACCGTGCATGGTACCAGTTAGCCAAAGTAGGCCACCCAGCAAAGAAAACATGGACATGAGAACTAAAATGCATTTTAAACGGAGGGCCCACCACTGATTTCCTTTATTTTTAAAAAAAATTACATTTCAATTAGATAATTTATTATATTTTTAAATTATAGTTTTGTTAAATCCCTACTCAAATCTAAATTCCAAACAGAGCTCCATTTATGGCATTTCTAGTTCAATAAGTAACTAGCATGCGGGATTGAATTTTAAAAATTTATTTATGATTATGTCAAACATATTTTTTAAATTATTAGTATAAAACATACGTAATTTTGAAAGAAAAATATTGACATTTTATAAATTAAGTCAATTAGTAGTTAAAAATACAATCACATTTTTTCTCACAATAAAAACAAAATTGTTGTGGGTTTTCTAATAAAAATTTACTCATAGAAATTGTTGTGGGTCTTCTAATAAAAATTGTTGCTCATAATAAAAATTTATTACATTTGTTTGAAATTCACTGAATAAAAAAAATATGATATAACTAAAATCTAAATTGTTGTGGGTCTTCTATCAGCATTCCTGCATTATCAACATGATAGTTAGTATTATAATTGATGAACAACACATATATTATGTATTTATAAAAGGTTATAAAGTAAAAATGTTATACTTACATATATATATATTTACCTTCTAAAAGGTATAGACATTCTTTAGACCAATTTATATTTAAAACAAAGGTCACGCACGGTGCACAATCTAGTTGACGTAGCATTGTTGGTATATGTATGATAAATGTATAGGCACGGTCTTAGCGTGACGCAATATAATCTTTAATCATTCTAATGCCATTATCTTACAAAATTTTGAAATTATAACTTTATGTTTGAAAATGTAAAAATAAGTTATTTATAATAAATTTTATAATTTCCTACCTTTGATATCATATTCTTCAAATATGATGGTCTACATCACAAGATAAACTTTGTCCATTTATCTTGAACAATGAGATTTATTGAATCAATACTGTCTATGACCACAATGTTAACATTGCATCTAATCAAAAAAAAAAATAAAAAAAATGACACTTGTTAAGTTGGCATTATTATTGTACATAACAATTATTTAACTAAAGAAAATTACCTTATTATAATATCAATATCATCATGTATGTAGTGACGACAAACAACGTAACCATACACTACAAGAAAATACATTTTTGGCGACCACTTTTGGCTACCATATGCCTTTCAGTCGCCAAAAGTTATGGAATTGGCTACCAAAAATAATATTAGTCGGCAAAAGTCAAATTTTTAGCTACTAATTTTTTTTAGTCGGGGAATGTTGATTATTGGCGACTAAAAAAAATTTAGTCGGTAAAAGTGCAACAATTGGCTACTAAAAAATATTTTAGTTGCCAAAGATGCAACAATTGGCTACTAAAAAATATTTTAGTAGCTAAAAATGTCACAATTGGCGACTAAAAAAAAGTTTAGTCGCTGTGTAGTTAGTTTTGTCTACAAAAATTATTTAGTCGGTATTTAATTTACTTTTAGCGACTAAATTTTAGTCGACAATTATAATTAAAAATTTTAAAAATTGGACTTCAGATTTTGGGGGGCAAAATCAGTTAGCTACTAAATATTTCGTCGGAGAAAAGCCTTTTTTATTATTGGCGACTGAAAAAGCTAGTCGGGAAAGAAAATAAATTAGGTTTAAGAAATACACTCCCACACGCTCTAACTCTCTCAGACATCTCTGTCTGCCTCTGCTCTCCTCTGGCTCTCTCTGTCTTTCTCCCTCTCTCTCGCTTTTGTCTCCATCGTTAACGGAGCATCACCGCCATCGCACACGAGCACCACCTTCATTGATCAATCCACCATTGGAGCATTACCCCAGGTATGTCCTCTCTATAGTCTCTATTCCCCTAATTTCAGCCTCTAGGGTTTTCTTCTGCCGTTTGCATACCTTCACCCAAACCCAACCCCAAATCGACCCATGTTAAGGTTGAGGCATTTGTTCATTCATTGTCCTTGGATATGGAGGATATGGGTTGAATTACTAGAATGGTGGAATGTTCACTGGGTTACACCATAATCTTTTTCAAATTTGTCACACTGGGGGTTTGGGTTTAAATTTGGGAAACTGGAAAAGAAGATGTGGAGGCCATGGTTTGGTCAATTTGGAAGGCTCATTAAGTATGTTTGTTTTTTTTCTAACTACTGCTCTTGCTTGTTTGTTTTTCTCTACCTACTGCTCTTACTTGGCCTGTTTCGTCCATGCTTGTATTTGTTGTTGTCTTCTGACCCTTTTGCTCACCATGTGTTTGACAAAATGTTCAAATGAAACTGGACAATTCTCATGTGTTTGACATCTGTTTATGAGTTTTGGTAGTGCCCAGATTGAATTTAATTGTTTTTTTCAATTACCTGTTCACGAGCTCTTATTAGGTGCAATTTCAGTTTGAGATTGAATTTCATTTTTTTTTGAATGTTTGGGCCTAATTCATTTTTTTCATTTTCATTTATGAGCTCTGTACATCCAGGCACTGCTTTGGGCCTGATTCGGTTTTTCTCCGCCAGTTGCTTTTCTTCTTTAATCCACAAAATGTTGCTGATTTCTCTGCTCTTGTGGAGACATGCCGATTACTTCAATAGTTTGTTCAAGAAAGTGGTGCGTCTAATCAGTCTTCCTTCTTAATGAAACCACTTATTAATGTTATTTGATGTTAGTAAATGCATGTGACTTTCATAAGTTGTTTGATAAAGTTAAATGCATGTGTCATTCCAGCAGTTGTTTGTCAGTCTATTAGAGTTAATTCTTGATGCTTTGGTTTGTATAATCTTCTTACACCTTTAAATTTAACAGGCAGTTGCAGCTACAACGAATGTAGAACTTGGCAACAAAGAATTATCCCAAGCCATTCAAAGAAATAGCAGTAGCAGAACTTTCCTTTTGCTTTTTCTGCTTGTACTTACTTTTTCAATCCTTTTTCTCGATTGGTATAACTAAATGGAGTGAAGATCAAAATAAGTTTCAAAACTTTGATTCAATTTCTTATTATTCTACTTTGCTGAAATTGCAGCTTGCTCATAAATTTGTTTATTTTATTTTTATTTTAAAAATTTTAAATTTAACCCGATTGTTATTATAGCTGCTAATGCACTAGTCTTGCAATGCAGAATGTGGAAATTATCTTATAGTTGCTATTTTTTGTAACTCAACGTAGATAATAGAAAATATACTTGAATTATATATGTTTTCTTATTATTTTTTTTACTCTTTATGCTTGTAGAAATTGATATTGTAGTTCATATTCTATTTTAAAAATTTTTATTAGTGTATATGTTCCCTCTCTTTATGTTGAATTCCTGCGTCCGGTAGCTACATAAAATTCAAATATTTTACCAATTCCTTCCCCCCCCCCTCTGTTTCTTATGTGGCTTTTTATGTGGTGGTGAATTTAACTATTTTTTAAATATAATGGACCCTATATATATGACAATTATTATATATAAATATTTTTGTTAATTTGTCCTTAGGCCCTGTTTCTTTCAGCAAGGGAATTATTAGTACGTTGGGATTGAGTGGGTACTAGTGTGGTGATATTATATTGGTGCTGTAAGATAAATTGTGTTTGTTCGTATACTTATATAGTAATATTAGTTGATTGTTATTAAATCTATTAAATTATGTCTTATATACAAGGTAATTTTGTTGTTTGTGTAAATTGATAGGCAAAATAGTCTTTTTATCTCCAATCTCGTGGGATTAGATTTTAATATTCCATTTCCTGTGGGATTGTTTGTCCCCTCGAGGGTTTTATTGACCGTTGCAATTTGTAATAATTCTAACAAGGATAAAAACATGCATATCTCTAATGTTGTGTTTGGTTGGATGATTTGGGGAGGAATTTAGAAAGAGAAAGGGAAAATAGTCTTATTTATTTATTTATGCTGGAAAGACAAACAACTGCTAGTGCTTATTTATTTATTTTTTATTATTGTTATTTTAAAAGTTGTTTGATAAAGTTAAATAGTCTTGAGTCCATGTCCATTGGAAAAATTATTGCTTCTCCAATGAATGTTATTGTCAAAAATTAAGATCAAGGCCAAATTGGAACTCTCAAAAGACTAGATAAACATTGTGTTGTATTTTAGAATTACTAAGTTTTGTGCCAAATTCAATACAAGATTTAGCTACAATGTGTAAAATAAGTTACGAGTTTGCTATGGGAATTGTGGAAATGATAGTTAAATTTTCTCATTTGAGCTAAATTTGTGTGAATTTAGGAGGGAGGTTGGTTTATCAGAGCACCAAGAAGATGGCCAGTGGACCCAAATGTCCTATTACTGGAAAGACAATCCAAGGGGTATGTAGGCCTCTTGTTTATTTCATAATCCAAGGGATATTCTGTAGAGGGAAAACCAACTGTGGGGTTTATGCTTGTGAACTTCAGGTAGTTATTGAATTTACCTTTTGGGATTCACTTCTTTACATTTTTCTCTTGTTTATCATGAAGAAGAATTATTTATTTCAGGGAGGGTGTGACAGCTGTTGAAGAACCTACGAACTGCCCAAATGTTTCCATATTGCACATTGCACATTGCACTTTGATGATGAGTTAGTAAACAGTGAATTTGAGAGGATGGCTCAAGCATTTGCTGTGGGACCTTCTGCTAATTCTCCTTTGCCTCTAACATCATTGGTAGTTCAGGTACTAACTCTAAGTACATGTACCTGTTTGGGTTTGATATTTTAATTTCTTCATTGGATATAGGTACATGTGTTAGCAGCAGCTGGAAAGAGCAAAAAAATTAGTATGCAAGCCAATATTTTTAGCTAATTGCATTGTTATGAATTTGCTTTTTCTAGTTGCTCCTATTATTGTACAATATACATTACATACGAGAGGATTATAAATATTAACCTATAAGCAAATTATTGGCTTTTACATTCTCGTAAATTTTTGTAGGTTTGCTTTACTGTTAGGCATATGTAGAGAGTTCTGCTTGCTTCTCTGTGATGTTAGGGTTTTTGCTAGACTAATAGTCTTTTTTAATATTGAAATGCTTTACAGGTGGAAGGTTTGGATCTTTCGTCTTTGTGGGGTTGATTAGTGTTAGAAATTTGGACTAATTCTTATAATTATCAATTAGAGGGAATATACTTCCTCAGTGACATCACAAACTCCAGAAATAGGGAATATACTTCCTCAAGACTCAGGATCAATGATAGCTAACAGACTAACAGTTCATGAATAAAACATTATTTCTGTACATGTGATAAACTTGCTCTTGGGTTCTGGGGTTGGGTTTTATGTTTCATTCTACCTGTGTGTTCATATTCAGTTGTTTTATTAGATGGGCAGTTGTACTCTATAATCTGTCTGTTACCAGGATTCATGAAAACCTTAGATTTTAAAGACCCATCATGCAATTGAAAGTTGGGGCAACTATTATGACTTGATGTATGGATAGCAGGCACATATGATGTCTTTGAGATTTAGCTAAGGAGAATGAACAAACCTTAGCTGTTTGTTGGATTCTTGTTGCAGCTTTTGAATGGAAAAATAAATGTACATGTATGGTGGAACCATTATTCAATCAATTCTTTTTTTTTTTTTACATTCTAAGATTATATGCTGTGTACTTCATAATATATTGCTTGGATTCCTTGGATTGAGTCACAGATGAAAATTTTATACTGTGTACTTCAAAATATGTGAAGTGTGTATTTTGTTTCCATAGCCACATACTTCAGAGCAGGACGGAGAATTCTTGAAATCCCTTTAGGAGAATGCTATGAATATAACTTTTTTTCTTCACTATAAATATAACTTTTTTGCTTCTCAGAAAATATATAACTTCTCCCACAAAAAGTATACTTTAGTTATACATAACTTTTAGGTGCTTATTATAACTTCAAAATTCATAACTTTCATCACAAAAATCGTAGGGACAGATGTGTCATGTAGGGGCAGACGGTACGTAAATAGGACACGTACGTTGAGAGTTAGGGTTAAAAATGTCATAAACTTAGTCGAAAAAAGGGGTTAGGGGGCCGAAAATGCAAAACAGCCCCCGGGCCACTATTTTTTTGTAATAGGAAGCTTCCCGGTGACAAATGTGTCATGTTGGGACAGACAGTACGTAAATAGGACACGTACGTTGAGAGTTAGGGTTGAAAATGTCACAAACTTAGTCGAAAAAAGGGGTTCGGGGGCCGAAAATGCAAAACAGCCCTGAGCCAGGCTTTTTTCGTAACGGGAAGCTTCCCGGTGATAAATGTGACATGTAGGGATAGACGGTACGTAAGTAGGACACGTACGTTGGGAGTTAGGGCTGAAAATGTCATAAACTTAGTTGAAAAAAGGGGTTCGAGGGGCGAAAATGCAAAACTGCCCCCGAACCACTGTTTTTAAGTAACGAGAAGCTTCCTGGTGATAAATGTGACATGTAGGGACAGACGGTATGTAAATAGGACATGTACGTTGGGAGTTAGGGTAGAAAACGTCATAAAAAAAAGGGGTTCGGGGGCAAAAATGCAAAACAGCCCCCGAGCCAATATTTTTTCGTAACGAGAAGCTTCCCGGCGACAAATCTGTCATGTAGGGACAGACGGTATGTAAGTAGGACACGTACGTTGGGAGTTAGGGTTGAAAATGTCATAAACTTAGTCGAAAAAGGGGTTCGGGGGCCGAAAATGCAAAACAGCCCCCGAACCACTGTTTTTTCGTAACGGGAAGCTTCCCGGTGATGAATATGACATGTAGGGACAGACGGTATGTTTTTAGGGACACGTACGTTGGGAGTTAGGATTGAAAATGTCATAAACTTAGTCAAAAAAAGGGATTCGGGGGGCGAAAATACAAAACAGCCCCCTTGCAACTATTTTTCGTAACAGGAAGCTTCCTGGCGATAAATGTGACATGTAGGGACAGACGGTATGTAAGTAGGACACGTACGTTGGGAGTTAGGGTTGAAAATGTCATATGCTTAGTCGAAAAAAGGGGTTCGGGGGGCACCATTTTGCAAGAACGAAATGTGACGAAGTATATATCCTGTTGACCTAATCGGTTGGAAATTCGAATAATGGATATGTCATAATTTTTGTAATTTGGTAATACCTACTAAGTTTACTTTCACATTTAACTACTAAAATTTACTTAGATTTAGAGATTAAAAAGCTAAAACAAGAACTCATGATGGGTCCATGTTTGGATGCCTTTCATTAGTTAATAGCTATTACTCTCCTTGTCTTTTAATGTTTGAAATTATTACAATATATATATATATATATATATATGTCGTCCAGAAGTGCCTTTATACGCATCAAACTAATGATGTTTTTGTTTTTTTGCAGATGTTTTTGGACATACAAATGTGGATATGTTTTTTTTGACAAGTACGGGAGGGCATTGTTTTTATATCTCTATCCGTATAGATAGTGGTTTGTACAAATTACTTTTTTGGTGTGGTAAATATCAACTAAGTTGGCATGGTAGAAATTAACATAGCACGTGGTACAAAATAGTTTTGGGGCAGTACAGAATATAATTTTTGTTGTGGTACAGAAGTTGTAGGTGTACAATTAATTTGGTTGTTCCTGTATTATGTATGGAATTAAATTATTGACATTGGATGAGACTTGGTTCTTATGGAATTTGTAATATATATATATAATTGGACGTTCAATATTAATTATTTGGATGGTTGGAACGACAAATGTGTGCACGTGGTTGAATGCTTGATAACATATTTAGTGTTGATGGATAATATTGTTCGTACAGGGTACATGTTGTATTAATAATGTATAAAGGTTGTTTAGAAAAAAAATTTTAGAAAAAAAAAAAACACGTTAAAGTATTTGGCCACCAAATATTTTGGTAGCTAAATACGTAATCAAATGTTTTGGTGACTAAGAATTTAGTAGCAAAAACATAACCCAAAAAGTTTTAGCAACCAAATAATTAGTAGCGAAATGATTCGAAAGAAACTATTGGCCACTAAATTTTTTAGTCACGGAAAAAAAATGATATCATTTGGTGACTAAAACATTTGGTGGCAAAAAGTGAAAAAGTGATGTTAAGAGGCATTTGGCTACGAAACTTTTAGTGGGCAAAAGAAACAATGACCCAAATTACTTAGTCGCTAAAAATATGTATTCTATTGGTGACCAAAATGTTTGGTCTATAATAGTTTTTCTTATTTTATGGTAGCACTTTTAGTGACTAACACTTTAGTCGCGAAATCACCTTTTACCGACTAAATAATGTTTCATAGCCAAATGAGTACTTTCGGCGATCAATTATTTAGTAGCTAAAAGTGACACTATCCCAGACCAAACCAACTTAGTAGCCAAAAAGCCTCATTCGGCGACTAAAGGTTTTAGTGGCGGAAACATAACATTTGCCGACTAAACTAAATTTAGTAGCTAAATGTAGTCACTTTCGGCGACCAAACAAAGTTTAGTCGCCAATACTATCGCCAACAGCGTAAAGGCGACGAGATTAGCGACAAAATATTTTAGTCGCTAAATCGTTTCAGCGACCAAATATTGGACTTTTGGCTACCAATATTTTGGTAGCCAAAAGTGACATTTCTTGTAGTGATGTTGATATTCAATTTTTTGATAGCAGCTTTTGCACAAATCAATCCAAAGATTGTCAACATCAATTTGTTCGATGTACTCAAGTATTCGAAAATATGAAACCTACAAAATATTTGAAAATCCTAAGTGATTTGTGATTAGATCAAGATTAAAATATTCCAAATCCCAATTATCCAAAACACACAATCTAAATCAACTAGCACTTACGAAAGTGATTTAGATTGTTTGTTTTGTCAGATTAAATAATAAATCGACACAAACGATTTTTACGTGGAAAAAACCACAATTGAAGAACCTTCAATTGTAATCAAAAACCACGGGCGAAACGCCACTAATCAATCCACTACTGAAGAAAGAAAGATTACAAAGATAATACACAAATTACCCAACTCAGTCAATTTGTCTTCGAATCTTCTGCAACTCTTTCACCACGCCTTCGTCTCGGAGCTAATCAATCCTGAAGTTGAATCCACAACTTCACTTGTCGAATTAATGACTACGTACAGAATCAAACGCCTTTTGAAACTCTACGCTTGAATCTTCGGAATCCACCGAAGAGAACTCTCTCTTGAATTTAAAGTAACTAACTCCTTGATGTATGTATCTTTAGATCATGAGTGAAGAACTCTTCTCAAAACATCAAGGAAAAACTCACAAAAACCTCAGAAGAAAACTTCAAACAAAACCCTAGGACTCTTGAATAAGATCTAGGAAAAATTAACCCTAAAAACAATCTAAACAGGTATAAATAGGTAACCTGAGTTCGCGATCTCCGCTCGAGCGCCCAACATCCCGCTCGAGCGGCTTCAGCAAAATCTGCATGTGACAAAACAGAGTTCCGCTCGAGCGCTTGATGACCCACTCGAGCGCGAAATCACACCTTCCAGTATTTTTACAGACCTGACAAAATACTGAGAGACCCCAATATCCGCTCGAGCGCCAATGGTCCCGCTCGAGCGGGAAAGACAAAAACATAGAGAAAGTTACAACTTGTTCAACACAAAGTTTTGTATCCGGATTTGACAATAAGGGACCTAACAATCTCCCCCTTTGTCAATTCCGAACAAAACCTTTCTAAACAATTGTCCTTAAACACACGCACTAGACAAGATAAAAAACAACAAAAAAACTCAAAACAACTCTATAATCAAACACTCTTGCCAAGTATCAATCCATCCATCCAATCTTCATCCAACATCTTCATCCAACATTCACCTGTGAAAAGGCTAGCAACATACCAGAAAACACAAAACTTGTGGAACTGTATCAAAACATACATAGAAAGATAACCATTCAAATATTAACAAGAGTATCCATCCGACATAACCAAATATGAACAAAATATCCATATGAACAAAATATCCATCTAACAAAAAATATATCCATCTAACAAAATATGTACCACCAAAAAAAAAAATGTCCAAAATGTATACCACCATGAACCACTGTATCACAACATGAACCACTGTATATCACCAAACTCTCCCCCTTTTTGACCGGGAATCAAGGAATCATGCACCAGGAGGAGGTGGTGGCTGCTGAAGCTGAAGTAAGGAAATGATGTGGGCCAGCTGAGATGTAGTGTGGACTGCAGTCTGCTCCAACTGACCAAGGCGACCATCAAATGCATTAAAGCGGGCATCCAAAAAGTCCAACCGCCGGGTCATAGCCTCCTCAAAATGCTGAAGCTGATCATGAAAAGCTCGAGGTGGAACAGGAGGAATGGCCTCCTTCTCACTCCCTGCTGCTGCAGCGTCAAACTCAGCCTCCTCAGCTAGTCCAGCAGTGGTACCTGTAGAAGTACCGGCCCGAGAAGACTCCCCCTTAACATGAGCTCGACTCTGAGAAATAGTTTTCTTTGTGAATGGTCGGGAGGGGAAGGCAAACTCATCATCCTCTAACACTCGAACCTTAAGTTTAGACAAAAGACGGTTGATCATATAACCATAAGGAAGTCCTAATTGTTTATTCCCAAAAACACCTATCATTTTCTTAACAATCAGAGTGGCTAGATCAATAGACATGTG